TGTGATTGTGGTTGTGGTTGTTGTTCTGGTTGTTGTTGTTGTTGTTGTTGTTGTTGTTGAACTCTCTCATTCTTCAAGAAATCATTATGTTTTTCATTGGACGTGCTTCCCCCGGTCCCCGCACCCTGTTGTTTTATCAGGGAAACTCACTGGGCTCAAACTGCATTGTTGGCCCCCGAACTACAACAACAACGGCTCCCGTCTGATACTTCCTCACAATTTATTCCCAAATGTCGTCGCTCTCGCGCGGGACTTCGTCGCACTTTATTCAGGAATCGCGCTCTCGCGGGGGGCTTCCTCGCAATTTATTCGGACGCCGCGCCCTCGACATTCAGGAGTCACGCTCTCACTGTGGATTTTCTCACGATTGATTTGGGAATCGGGCTGTCGCTCGAGGCTTCCTCGCGATTCATGCAGGACGCACGCTTGAGCAACCCGCCTGCTCGACCTGGCCGCCTGGGCCCTCCTTCCCGACCCGCCTGGTAGGTCTACCCGCCCGATCTGCCCGTCTGGTTCTGCCAGGTGTTTTCTGCTCGTAGCCCGTGCTCCCTCCTCCCTCCCCCTTTTTCCTTCCTTCCATCCTCTCTTCCCCTACCTCAGGGGCTGCGCGAAATACACGTTGCAGGTCAGAGAGATTTACCCCCAAGGGGGTACGGTCGAGGACGAAGGCGGCGGGTATCGAGGGTTCGGGCCATACGTGTTGAATGGCACGCGAGCAGATAAGAGCGAATAGTCTCAACATGATTGTTGTTGTTGTTGTTGCTGCTGTTGTTGCTGTTGTTGCTGTTGCTGCTGTTGCCGTTGTTGTTGCTTTTATTGTTGTTATTATTTGTTGTAGTTGTTGGTTTTGTTGTTGCCGTTGCTGCTGTCATCGTCGCCGTCGTCGTCATTCATAATATTGTTGTGGTTGTTGTGGTTGTTGTTGTTGTTGTGGCTGTTGTTGTTGTTGTTGTCGTCATTACGCTTGTTGTTGTGGTCGTTGTTGTTATTGCCTTTATTGGTTTTGTTCATGTTGTTGGTACTGTTGTTGTTGTTGTCGTTGTTGTTGTTGTTGTTTCTGTTGTTGTCGTTGCCGACGATGGGACTGATAACGACGATGCTGATGCTGATGATGAGGATGATGCTGCCGATGATGATGATGATGATGGTGATGATCATGATGCTGATGCTGATGACGATGATCATGATGACGATGATGATGATGACGATGATGATGATGACGATGTTCATAATGATGATGATGATGACGCTGATGATGGTGATGATGATGATGATGATGATGATGGTACTGATATTGATGATGATGCTGATGATGATGATGATGATGATGATGCTGATGATGATGATGATGATGATGATGATGATGATGATGATGATAATGACGATCATGATGTGGTGGCGGTGGTGGTGATGGTGCTGATGATGGTGTTGATGATTATGAAAGTGCGCTAGTGGATCTCCCTGAATACACTAAAGGGGGGGAGGGGGTTCCAGAACCCCCCCCCGCCCCCCCTTCAAGGGGGGGGGGTCCGGACCCCCCCCCCCCCCCTTAGGGGGGGGGGTCCCGAACCCCCCCCCCCCCCCCCCCTCCCTTGAAGGGGTGGGTGGGTCCGGACCCCTCCCCCCCCTCCCCCCCTTGGCGTTGGAAAGGGGGGGGGGGTTCGGACCCCCCCCCCGTGTAGGGAGTACGGAATTGGGAGTAGGGAGTGGTGAGTAGTGAGTAGTGAGTTAGTGCGTAGTGAGTAGTGAGCGAGTAGGGAGTAGGGAGTAGGGAGTAGGGAATAGCGAGTAGTGAATAGTGAGTAGTGTGTACTGATAAGTGAGTAGTGAGTGGCGAGTAGTGGGTAGTGAGTAGTGAGTAGCGAGTAGCGAGTAGTGAGTACTGAGTAGGGAGTAGGGAGTAATGAGTAGTGGGTAGCGAGTTAGTGCGTAGTGAGTAGCGGGTGGCGAGGAGTGATTAGTGAGTAGCGAGTAGTGGGTAGTGCGTAGTGCGTAGTGAGTAGTGAGTAGTGAGTAGTGAGTAGTGAGTAGTGAGTAGTGAGTAGTGAGTAGTGAGTAGCGAGTAGTGAGTAGTGAGTAGTGAGTAGTGAGTATTGAGTAGTACGTAGTGCGTAGTGAGTAGTGAGTAGTGATGAATAGAGAGTAGTGGGTAGTGGCTGTGGGTAGTGAGTAGTGAGTAGCGAGTAGGGACTAGCGAGTAGTGAGTAGTGAGGAGCGAGAAGGGCGTAGTGGGTTGTGAGTAGAGAGTAGTCAGTAGTGAGTAGTGGGTAGTGATTAGTGAGTAGCGAGTAGGGAGTAGCGAGTAGTGAGTAGTGAGTAGGGAGTAGGGAGTAGGGAGTAGGGGGTAGTGAGCAGTGAGTAGTAAGAAGTGGGTAGCGAATAGTGGGTAGTGGGTAGCGATTTGTGAGTCGTGGGTAGTGGGTAGTGAGTAGTGACTAGTGACTAGTGACTAGTGGGTTGTGACTAGTGACTAGAGACTATGTAGAGACTAGTGAGTAGAGAGTAGTAAGTAGTGAGTAGTGAATACTGAGTAGCGGGGAGTGAGTAGTGAGTATTGGGTAGCGAGTATGGGAGGAGCGAGTAGTGAGTACTGAGTACTGTGTAGTCAGTATTGTGTAGGGAGTAATGCGTAGCGAGTAGTGGGTAGTGAGTAGTGATTTGTGGGCAATGAGTAGTTAGTAGTGAGTAGTCAGTAGTGGATAGTGTGTAGTGGGTAATGAGTAGTGATTAGTGAATAGTGAGTAGGGAGTAGTGAGTAGTGCTTAGTGAGTAGTGAGTATTGAGTTGTGGGTAGTGAGGAGTGAGTAGTGAGTAGTGAGTGGGGAGGAGGGAGTAGTGAGTAGGAAGTAGTGAGTAGCGAGTAAGGGGTGGTGGGTAGTGAGTAGTGGATGGTGAGTAGTGAGTCGTCAGTAGTGAATAGGGGGTAGTGAGAAGTGAGTAGCGAATAGCGAGTAGTCAGTAGTGGGTAGTGAGTAATGAGTAGTGAGTACTCTTTGGGACTGGGGTTAGTGGTTGGGGTTAGGATTAGGGGCTTGGGTTAGGGTGAAGACTAGGGGTAGGGGTGGCGGGGGTCGGATTCCGGAGTCAGGGGGCGGCGTGGCGAAAGGGAGGGAGGGGGGGGGGGGGGGTGGTCGGACCCCCCCCCCCTTTTGAAAGGGGGGGAGGGGGGGGGTCCCCGACGACGGGTCGGGGAAAGGGGGGGAGGGCGACGCGGGCTGACGCGAGCTGAGGTGGTGCTGCAGATGACGATGATGCTGATGATGATGTTGCTCATGATGATGATGACAACGAGGACGATGACGACGATGACAATGGCGACGATGACGATGATGTTATTATGATGATGATGCCGACAACGACGATGATGATGCTGCTCATGATGACGATGATGATGATGCTCATGCTGATAACGATGATGCGGATGATGATGATGATGGCGATGACGATGATGACGGTGATGATGATGCTGATGCTGATGCCGATGATGATGACGATGGTGATGATGCCGATGCTGATGAGGACGATGATGATGACGATGCTGATGATGATGATGCTGGTGCTGATGATGCTGATGATGATGCTGCTGATGATGATGATGACGATGATGATGACGATGATGATGATGCTGGTGATGATGCTGCTGATGATGATTAGGATGAGGATCAGGATGATGACGATGAGTGTGATGATGAGGATGATGCTGATAATGATGATGATACTGATTCTGATGAACATGTTCATGATGAAGAGTATGATGATGGTGATGATGACGACGACGATGATGATGCGGATGATAATGATGATGATGATGGTGGTGGTCCTGATGATGATGATGTTGATGGTGATGATGATGATGACGACGGCGATGACGATGATGTTGTTGATGATGATGCTCATGATGGTGGTGGTGGTGATGATGATGACGATGATGCTGATGGTTGTGGTGATGATGATGATGGTGATGATGATGATGACGATGATGATTTCGCTGTGATGATTTCAACGACGACGACGATGATGATGACGCCGAGGACGATTTGGTGATGATGATGATGGAATGGTGATGATGTGATAATGATGATGGTGTCTTGATATGATGATGATGCTGATGATGATGGTGGTGGTGGTGATGTTGATGATGCTGGTGGTGGTGATGATGATGGTGATTATGATGGTGATGATGATGCTGATGATGATGATGATGACAGTGATGACGATGACGATGACGATGATGATCATGATGACGACGATGACGATGATGACGATGATGACGATGATGATGATGATGACGAGATGATGACGATGATGATGATGCTGGTGATGATGCTGCTGATGATGATGATGCTGACGACGAGTATGATGATGATGCTGATGGTGCTGATAATGACGTTGCTGATGATGATGATGATGCTGATGATGATGACGATGATGATGATGATGATGATGATGATGGTGATGATGCTGCTGCTGCTTCCGATGATGACGATGATGATGATGATGATGATGATGTTGATGATGATGATGATGATGATGATGATGATGATGCTGATGATACTGATGATGTTGATGATGATGATGATGATGACGACGACCGCGATGACGATGATGCTGCTGATGATGACGACGATGCTGACGACGACGATGATGATGATGATGATGACGACGATGATGATGATGCTGATGATGATGATGATGATGATGATGATGATGATGATGATGATGATGATGATGATGAGGAGGAGGAGGAGGAGGAGGAGGAGGAGGAGGAGGAGGAGGAGGACGAGGAGGACGAGGAGGACAGAGGAGCAAGCAGGAGGAGGAGGAGGAGGAGGAGAGGAGGGAGGAGAGGAGGAGGAGGAGGAGGAGGAGGAGGAGGAGGAGGAGCAGGATGTGGAGAGGAGGCAGGAGGAGGAGGAGGGAGGAGGAAGAGGAGGAGGAGGAGGAGGAGGAGAGGAGGAGAGAGGGAGGAGGAGGAGGAGGAGGAGGGTTGCTCGGCCGAGGACACCCTCAAGAGGGATCTGAAGGGCAAGATGGGCTTCAAGGGGTTCGTGCAGTCCGACTGGTGGGCAGTGCACGATATGAGCGCGGGGAAGGGGCTCGACCAGGAGACGCTGGGGACCTGAGGGGACGAGGTGGAAGAGGAGAAAGAGGAGGAGGAGGAAAAGGAATAGGACATCACGTGCGTTTGTCTCCCGGTTGGACTCCGTGAATCTTACTTCGTATGGCACGCAGTGGTTTCCACTATGCAGGTCGATTTCTTGAATTTCACACTCATCAGAGAGCCGCACTTCGAACTCACAGGTTTGATTGCAACATTTTTGTGTCGGAAGCCTTCGATTCCACAGCAATATCACCATTTGCTAGCTTCCATCCTTTTTTTCTGGGAAGAAACAGATGTACAACAACGAAGTACAGCGCATCATGATGAATGTCGCTGACCCTGGGAGGTTTTCCAGTGACGTTCATGCACTGCTGCGTGAATTCTGATCACGGGGATGCCGAGAAAGTATGCTGCCTTCGCCAGTCTACTGCGCCAGTGCCAGGTTGCAGTTTTCTCAAAATTGGGCTTGCGAGACCAGCCTGTCGTCGATTCACAGACCAGCCATGGAAAGCATAAAGTCTTGCTGATAACTCCCCATGGGACGCAAACGAAGGAGCTGATGCCACTCCAGGGCCCCCTGTATTTCCACCTGCCCTGGTGCCCGCGCGAATGTCGCATGTTCGAGCTGCTCGACCCCCAAGAAGCCCTCGCCGTGCTCGTTACCACCGCGCTCCGCGCAATGCTGCCGGTTGCAGCTGCAGCATGCCACAGCCTCGGTCCCCCCGCGGAAGACGCCCCCGTGCACACGGTCCTGGCACTACATCGTCGAGGCGTGGATCGATCTGGGGTGCCCCCCGCTCAGTGTCCACCGCCTTCTGCGTCCTGGGTGCGGAGCCGTCTAGCCCCGCCGGGTACTCCCCCCACTGGCCCCCCCGACCCCTCATTGGCGCCGTCCCATATCCACGGCATGCCTGAAGACGTCCTCCGCAGGCTGGCTCACGGGATGGCCAGGGTCCGTTCCCCCCTGGGGCCGCAACTCGCGTGGCACTGCACGCCCGTTTCATCACATGTGGCGAATCCTCGCGCGTGACCTCCACGGGGTTGTCCCCCACGACGCGTTCCTCTCCCGCACCGAGGCCCCCCTCGCGCCTGCGTGGATGCTGGTCTTCGTCTTTCGCCGCTTCCTCACGCTCGGTGGCCACCTGCATGCCCCCTCCCCTTCCCTTGCTTCTCTCCCCCCCCCCGCGCTGATGCCGGTGTCGGCCGCCGTGGCCCGCAGCGCTCCAGCAGGGCCCCCAGTCTCATGCCAGCGGCAGCCCCGTGACGATGCAGCAGGGCCGCCCAAGGCCCCGCTCCCTTGCTCGGCGCACCCCTCGTGCACCCACCCGAAGCCAGCGCCGCAGACGCGGGTGCGGCCGCTGCAGCGGCGGCACCCCCTGCTCTGGATGGGGCAAGAATCGCCCCCCCCTGGAATCCGCTGGGGGGGTTGGGCACGAGCTGTCGGCACGGGTGGAGGGGGGGTTGGAGGAAGAGGAGGAGGAGGATGAGTAGGGGGCCACATGCGAACCCTACCCCTACCCCCCACGATTTCTGAGGGGGAGGGTGGGGTTCACTTCGTTCAGGAGCTCCCAAACGAAGTGAACCCCACCCTCCCCCTCGGAAATCGTTGGGGGTAGGAGGGGGAGGAGGACGGAGGGGGCGGGATGGGGCAAGCTCAGTCGGGAGGTTAATCACCCTCCCCTTGATAAATACCCCATCCAGAGTACCCCCCCGTGGCCCCCCAGCCCCTCCCCTTCGCGCATTTCGCGGATACCCCTATCACGCAGCTCACCCACCAGCAGCTGGTCCTGGCTACTCGCGGCTTCATCCAACTCGGGTACTGGCAAGCCAAGCTCTGGAGGGCGGTCCTCCACAGGTGCAAGTTCATGTCCGCCGACCCAAGCGCGCACCCTGTCAATCGGCTTCAACCCTTCCTCGAGCTTGCGTATGGGTTCAAAGTGCATCCAGAAACTCATGTTCTCGCGTCCAAGCTCCCCGAGGGCTACGTCGCCGAAGCTGGCTGCCCCCCCCTCCATCTTGTCAGGCGCGTCGCTGAGATCCGTGTCAGTCTGGGGCAGCCTTGTCAGTGGAACAACTTTCTCGGCTACGCCTCCAAGCGGGAGAAGCCCATCCATCAGACAGACCCCAATGACGACAGGAATCATCTCGGGGGGTGGCGCTTGACGACGCGCGACGACAGGCGCGCCGGCGCGGCAGTCCTCATGCAGAACAGAACGGCTCTCCAGGTCCCCCATGTGGGGGGCCCCCCTTTGTCGCCGCACGGTCCCGCCCCTCTGGCCCCCCCGGGGCTCCCTCCCCCCACCTCCTGGCCTGCCGCCCTTGGCAGGGAAGCGGCGTCGTCCACCCCCGGCTCTGCTCGGCTCCTCTCCTGTGGGAAGCATCGGCGCAGTACAGTCGGGGCCCTGAAGAAGGAACCCTTTTCGCTGGGGAGGGGCTCCGTGTTCCTTAAGTGTTTCGCAGCTTGCCTTGGATTTTCCTCAGGTTTTCGATACGAAATCGAAGTTCAACGTATGGAAAATAGGGGCCTCGTTCCTTATTTAGGGTTCCTCAGATCAACGCCCCGACTGTACAGCGCTTCGCCTCCCTCCGCGCCCGCTCCCCCGACTCCACGCCGCACGAGGCCGCCCACAGGCCACGGGCGGGTGCGCAGTCGGCCCCTCTGCCCCCGTCGGCGCCCTTTTCCCCGCTCGGGCGCGTCTCCGGCGTCCCACGGCCGCCCGGTGAGCGACACTTTTCGGAGCTCTCCGCCGGCGAGGAGGAGGAGGAGGAGGAGGAGGGGGAGGAGGAGGAGGAGGAGGAGGAGGAGGAGGAGGAGGAGGAGGAGGAGGCCACCTCCCTCCTGGCCTCCTCCGCGGCTATCCCAGGTCGAGGGCGAGGAGGCGGAGCTAATGTGCCCCCTAGACCCGCAGGGGCCCCTAGGCCTCGCACGGGGCCGCGCAGAGGCCGAGCGGGGGAAAAAAGAAGGGCGGGCCCCGCCCGAGAGGGGGAAGAACAACGGGGGGAGGGAAAGACAAGAGAGACAGGAAGAAGCCGAACGGGGGAAACCATCACCACCCACCAAACCACCCCAACCCAACCCGAAGGCCCCAATTTGCCCTCCATTTCCAGTGGGGGGGGGGGGATCGGGGAACATTGAAAAAAAGAAAACACATGGAACCCGTACCCCCCCCAACCCGAAAGTCGGGTCAAACTCGGGTCTTCGGGTTGGGTTGGGGTGGTCTGGTAGGTCGTCAAACAAAGGGGAGAGGGGACAAAGATACAAGGGCGCCTCGACAGACCCGCCGCCGTCGGAGCCCCGAGGGGGCCCCGTCCGCTGGCCGGCGGCCGGCGCCCCTCGGGTCCGCCAGCCTCGCGGCGCCGGCGGGCGCGCGCCCTGCCCGGCGCGAGCCCGGGGCCAGGCGCCTCGCACGCTCCCCCCAGGAGGTGAAAAAACACACAGACACAAGTCATCGTCGATTCCCAGAAAAGATGGGAACATATGGGCAGTGGGGGGGACGACAGGAACCCAGGAGATGTAAGGAAATATGGGGAGTCCTTTTATCTGTGTGTATTTATCTGTGTGTCCCAGGGCCCCTTCATCCCCCCCTCTGCCACCGCCCGTGCCGTCGGCGTGCCCGCCTGCCGTGCGTCCTCCGCCGCCTGGTTCTCCCGCCAGCGCTGCGTCCCCAGCTTCCCCGACCTCTCTCTTTGGGGAACGAAGGATGACACAAACATCATGACTCGAAGGTCCGCGTGGATTTCTCGGGTCGGCGCTGGGGCCCCCTGGCGGAGCCTTCGGCGCCGCCCCTGGTCCAGCGCGGATCCAAGAAATCCGCGCGGACCTCCGAGTTTTTATGTTCATGCCATTTTTCGTTCCCCTATCTTCCCCCTCTCCCACGGGAGGCGCTGCCTGTAGCGTTGCCCCCCCCCCCCCCCGACCCCGCCGTTGCACCCCCTGGCAGAGGCGGAGGCCCCCCGCCGAACGCCCGCTGGTTTCTCCAGCTGCGTGGCATGGCCCTGTCCTCCTCCTTGGGCCTACTACCTCTGGCACCTCCCCAACAACGACGACGCACAGGTTCTTCGCTTTATGGCAAACCAGATCTCCATGCAGTGCCAGGGCAGCAACATTCTGGATCGCGTGACCGGGGTGGACCTGGAGGTTGTGGACGCTCACCCGTTCCAGGCACGGTCCACGCGTCCTCGGATCCGTTCTGCCCTCGCCCTCCCTGTACTCGCTCGCAGACGTTGACCAGTTCATGGAATACCTCGCGGCCTCGGCCCACGCGGAAAAGGCTCCCCGCCGACGCTGCCCCTGCCTCGGGTGTTGCCAGAGGTGCCCCTGCCCCTGGCCCAAGGTGCCCCCAGGATTCTCAGGGTGGCCCAGACGGCCTCCAGAGCACCCCTCACGAGGCCCAGAGGGCCCGAGGGGCTCCAAAACGGAGCGAAAAGCTGGGGGCACCTTGGGCCAGGGGCACCTTTAGCAGCCCCCGACTGCCTCCCGCGTCCCCCCCAGCGATGGTGACGCAATCCCCGGGGAGCGCCTCGTTCTGGTGCCGGCGGCACACCTTCCGCGGCGGCGCCTCGAGCCCTGTTGAGAGCAGGCCGTGCTGCACGCGCCATGGGGCCTGCGACTTGCGCCCCCTCCGACGCCTGTCCCGCCTCGCCCCCACTCCGAGGCGGGAATTTCTAATTACCTGACCACCGCCTGGAGGATCAATCTTCGGGGACCCCGGCAGGCGGTGGATGTGGACACATTCGGGCCCCCCGGGGGCTAACACATATCCATATCCACCGCCCGCTGGGCCACCAGGACGTCGGTTCACAGGCGGTGGATGTGGATAAATCCCCGCCTCACCCCCGCGGTCCTGCCGGCCTCCCTTTGGAGGGCATCTGCGGCTCCAGCCCATGGCGGTCTGGTCCCCCCCCCGCAGGTCCCCTGCGAGCGTCGAGGGGGGGTGCTGAGCGGGCTGGCCCCGCGCCTCTCGGGGCACCGCGCCCGGCGCGAGTGCCACAGCTCCGGGCCGCTGCCTCACGCCTCGGCCAGCACGCCCTCGGCAGGCACCCAGGTTTCAGCCGGGCCTGTCCCTCTACAGGAGGAATATTCAAAAATAGTCAAAGCATAGTATAGGGACGATTTTTGACTATTTCTGGCTACTTTTGAATTTTTTGACTGTATTTTTTTCGCCCAAAAACCGCCTGTAGGGGGACAAGCCCGACTTGAACCTAGGTGCGCTCGTAATTGCTGCCCTCCTGGGCCCCTGGCTTGTCTCCGCCCTGCTCTCCTCCCCCTTTCCGAGGTCTGCCGCTTCTGGCGCCTGCCTTCGTCCGGGCACTTCGTCCGAGGTCGCCACTTGCCAGGCCCGTCGTTTCCTTGGCCTTTTGCGGTGTCTTTGCCGCCACTGCCGTTTTCGGCTCCCCCTCGGTCCTGCCGCGCCCTTCTGCCAGCTCGCTGGCCATCGTATCGCTGTAGCTTCGGCTTCCGTCTGGAGCTCCCTCCGCTCACCGCTCGTCCCGCTCTCGTTCTCCTGTCACCTAGCCTGGTCGGCTTCCGTTCGTCTGCCCCCCCTCGTCGGACCCGCCCGTCATCCACGCCCGGATGACTTGTGGCCGGCTGCCGGCGCTGCTTGGTTCCAAGCGACTTGAGGATTCGGCCGTCTAGACGCGGGTGCGCGCCCGCCTCTTTGACCTTTCAACGCCCTGTCGCTGCGCTCGGGACCGCGACGCCAATATTCTCTCGCTTTCTGAGTGTGTGTGTGTGTGTGTGTGTGCGTGCGTGCGCGTGCGCGCGTGTGTGTGTGTGTATGTGTTGTGTGTGTGTGTGTGTGTGTTTGTGTTTGTATTTGTGTTTGTGTTTCTGTTTTTGTTTGTGTGTGTGTGTGTGTGTCTGGGCGGGTGTTTCGCCTGAGACATTCTCGACATCCTCACAAAATGGGGACGGTCGAGGAGTTCTTCAACGACGTTGGTTCGCACCAGCGGAGCTATCCCCTAAGAGATAGTCAGAGCATCGATATGTTGAGCTCAGGCGTTGGTTACCGATCTTGGTGTGGCGGGGCGCTTTGCTGCCAGTGAGCTCCCGAGTTCGACGTACCCTCCAGAGCTCGGCTGTCGTCCTGAGAAATCCTCACACATGGAGGAGTCACCAGAGAAGGCTGACAGCATATTATTTGACTTAGTTTCCTTACTGGGTCCATCGGTCCCTCAAATTTGTTTCCAATGATACCCTTGCCGCTATCCTATTGTATGCACGCTGTACCATATGGGCATTTGGCTGAGAAGCTTCTCAGCTGGAGCGCGGAACGACGCAACTCTCCCTCCGGCCATCCAGAGGATGCAGGAGGAGACAGAAAGAGGAGGAATAAAAAGAGGATGAGTGGAGGGAGAAGGAAAAAGATAAAATGGATGATGAGAGCAGTAATGAGGATCATCCAGATGTGGGAGACGGAGGATAACGAGGAGCGGAGGGTGGAGGGGGGTGAAGAGGGGGTATGAGGAGAAAGATGAAGAAAGACCATTCTGATTTTTGAGGAGGAAGAGGTGGTGGAGGAGGAGGACAGGAAGAATAGGCAGGATAATGAGGAGAGGATGGAGAGGGGAAATAAGGGAGGACGAGGGAGGAGGAGGGAAAAAGGTGTAGTAATGAGCTAGCAGGAAGAATAAGGTTGAATGACGGAGAATGGTGATGATTCTGACGATGACTAGACAACGACGACGATGAGGCTGATGATGCTGATGGTAATGATGAGGCCAATGATGTTGATGCTGATGCTGATGCTGATGCCGATGACGACGACGATGATGATGGCTGTGGTGGTGATGATGACGATGCCGATGACGATGCCGATGACGATGACGAAGACCATGATGATGCTGCAGATGATGATGCTGATGATGATAATGATGATGATGATGCTGATGTTGTTGTTGTTGATGATGATGATGCTGCTGATGCTGATGATGATGATGCTGATGAGCACGATGATGCTGATGCGGATGCTGTGGATGTTGATGTTGAGAATGACGATGATGCTGATGATGACGATGATGATGATGATGCTGATACTGTTGATGATTAGGATGCTGATGCTGCTGATGATGATGACGCTGCTGCTGATGTCAATTATGCTTTGTTGTTGATGGTGCTGCTGCTGATGATGAGGACGATGTTGATGCTGATGCTGATGGTGATGATAATGTCGATGATGACGATGATGATAATGATGATGAAGATGAGGATGAGGATGATGCTGCTGCTGCCGATGCTGATGATGCTGATGATGCTGATGCTGATGCTGATGCTGCTGATGATGATGATGATGATGATGATGATGATGATGATGCTGATGATGATGATGATGATGATGATGCTGATGCTGATGCTGATGCTGATGATGATGATGATGATGATGCTGATGATGATGATGATGACGATGACGATGACGATGTGCTGACGAACATGACTATAATGATCAGGAGCAGTAAGCGAGGAGTAGCAGGTTGATGATAGGTGGAAGCATGAAGAGCGGGAAGAGGAATAGGAGGAGGAGGAGGAGAAGGAGGAGGAAAAGGAGGAGGAGGATTATGAGGAGAAGGTTCATGAGGATGCTTCGCATGATACTGATGACGATGTTATAATGGTGATGGTGGTGGCTATGGTGACGACGAGAAGAAGACGGAGCGGGGAGGGAGAAGGTAGGTGTCATGAGGAGGAGCAGGAGCTGGGGCAGAAAGAGGAGGAAGGAGAAGGTGGAGGAGGGATCTGTTTGGGAGGAGGTCGATGAGGAGGAGGAGGAGGAGGAGGTGTATGATGACAAGAAGGAGGAGGAGGACGAGGACGAGGACGAGGAGGAGGAGGAGGAGGAGGAGGAGGAGGAGGAGGAGTAGGAGGAGGCTCCACCAGGAGATGCCCGGCACGGGAGAGCACGTGTACTTCGACGACGGGGCGCTGGACTCACAGGCCCAGGGCACCATGTCGTCAAGACGGTCCACCTCTCCGCCCCCCTCTTCTCTCCTCGGTATTGTTTGACCGATCCCCATCCCCATCCCGATCCCCACCATCCCACCACCCCAGTTGGGGGTATGCCCCTCGAAACCCGAAGGTAGCAGCCAATATCCCCACCTAGGGGGGTGCATCGGCCAGTGGGGCCCAGGCCACGCCAGTGGGGAAAGGGATCGATTAAAAGCGATCCTAGTCTCCTGAAAGAGAACAGGGTGTCGATATGTGGGTCTTCGTCGACATCCCCGCCCTTTTCCCTCGCCCCAGTCTTTGGCGATACCCGAAGGGGAGCTGGGTCTGCGCGGAGGTAGGCGTAGTGAACCTGTGAGGCCGATCCTATCTGACTCGTTTCTGCCTCTCCTCCTCTTCCTCCTGCTCCTCCTGCTTCTTGTCTTCCCCTCCTCGTCCTGGAGCGCTGTCGGAGGGTCGTGCCCACGGGTAGCGGTTCTGCCGTCGCAGCAGGACGATGGCGTGGTGGACGACGCCGCCAAGCGGGTCCTCGCGGCGATCCACCGTCTCAACCTGACGAAGTCCCTCAAGTGCAGTCCCCCGGACTGCGAGGACACGCTCATGACCGACGTCACGAGCGAGGCGCACACGGCGATGGCGCGCAGAATGGCGACCGAATCGGTGGTGATGCTCAAGAATCAGGTCGGAGGTGGATAGACCTCCTACCCTGACACGTCGATTAGCGAATCGGCCGTTCTCGGTCCGCGAGAGGGCGTCGCGGCCGTCGTTTCTGTGGGTCCAGGTCAGTCGGTTTCGGTCCTAGGCCGTTTTCGCTAAAGGGTGGCTTGCTAAAGGGAGGTTTGTCCACCGCCGATCAGGGCGACGTGCTGCCGCTGTCCAGCGCAACCACCAGGGTGATCGCGGTCTGCGGCCAGGCCGCCGACGCGCCATCCGCTCCTCCTGTTCTCCCCAGCGGCAGCACCAGGAGATTGACGACGACGACGAGGACGACGATGATGATGCTGCTGATGATGGTGATGGTAATGGTGATGAGGACGATGGTGATGATGATGAGGACGATGATGATATGATGGTATGGTGGTGATGGTGATGGTGATTGTGATGATTGGTAATGGTGATGGTGGGAATTGTGATGATTCTGTTGACGCTGACGATGAGGACAACGATGAGGAAGTCGATGACGCCGACGACTATGGTGATTCTGATGCTGATTGTGATGCTGATGATGATGCTGATGATGACGATGCTGATGAGGATGGTGATGATGGTGATGCTGCTGCTGATGATGATGATGATGATTAATCTTATTACTATTATCAGTTCAACCATATTCTCATCTCCGTTCAACCAGCGATTTCTATTCAACCACCCAGTGGTGCTGAATCACGGGTGTGGGACTGCACTTCCATCCTGTGGTATGGGCGTTGTTGCAAAATTGTGATCGTGATGATGTTGCTCATGATGATGCTGATGATTATTTAATCGCTTCGCTCATTCCGCCGGCCCATACAGTCTCATGTCTGCCGTTTGCCCGAGGGCCTGGTGTCAATGCGGCGCTTTGGGGGTTCCTGGGGCCGCTTGGGGGACTCCTGGGGCGCTCGGGGGGGCATTTGGGGGGCCTCCTGGGGCCGCTTGGGGGACTCTTGGGGGCCTCCTGAGGGCCCTCGTGGGGGCCTCTTGGGGCCTCTTAGGGGCCTCTTGGGGCCTCGTGGGGGCTTCTTAGGGCCGAGGGCTCGAAATGTTGTTTCGTGTTCCCTCTCTGGGGCCCCTTTGGGGGCGTTCTTGGGGCCCTCTTGGACCGTTTTGGAGGCTTCTTGGGCCGTCTTCGAGCCCTCTTGGGCATCTTGGGGCCCTCTTGGGTGCCTCTTGGGCCCTCTTGGGGCGATCTTGGGGGCCTCTTGGGCCGTCTTGGGGCGTCGGGAAGCCGAAAAGGTGGAAGCTCCAAAATCTCTCAAAAA